CACTCATTTGAGGCTGAGTCGACCTCGGGGAGTTCCCAGGACCGGTCCAGATAATATAATCGCTATCACCGGCGTTGTCCGTGAGCGGGAATCGAACTCGGGTGGCCGGGGTTCGTAGCGCGGCATAGCGCTGACCGCTGCGCCACCGCTCCCCGCATCATCACGCAGCATCACGCAAACACCGTTGGTCACTATTCCCGTATATTGTTATACAAACCGCACACGCCAGCCAATGACGGCTAATCCTGGCGTCAAAAGCGCCACCGTTTGGACCACGAGATCCACGGGGTGGGGGGGGGGCTTTAGCGAGTCAGCGCGCGTGGCGAGAAGCCCCCCCCCAACCCCCCCCGGCCGTCGGGATTTGAGATGCGGCAAGCGAGCGGACAGCGGCGTGGGACATCTCGAGTGAGATTCCACTCAGCACTCACAGCACACATATACTTAGGTTTTTTCGGTAAAGTCACGTAGGTAAAAAATAAAATTAAAATTAATAAAAGTGAAATAAAAAATCACGACGTTTCGGAGGCAACACAAGCTTCCGTCTTCAGGTGGAACCGTCACAGCACGATTGCTGTATCAAGTACATATCAAGTATTCATCTTCTTGGTTCTTTCGGTAAAGTAAACGTAGAATGGACCTGGTCTTCGCCTGAGGACGGCTGCTTGCGTTGTGGCCGAAACGTCGTGAGAATTATTTTATTATGTTTTATTTTTATCATTTTATTATTTCCATTCTACGTGACTTTACCGAAAGAACCAAGAAGAAGACTTATCAAGTACTTTAATTAATTTTAATTTTTACCTACGTGACTTTACCGAAAAACCTAAGAGTATGAATCCTTGCAGTCACGAAAGCTTCAAATCTAGAACTCACAGCCCACCCAGGGTTCATCCGTCCACTGCCCTAATCCCCTCCCCCCCCGGGGATTATTTCACGTCGCTCGCGTCTCTCATATCGCCCCACTAGGGATTTGAGAGACGGGCGCTGGGGTGGGGGATTGGTGGATCGTGCCGTGATGGAGACAGAGAGAGAGAGGAAGATGACCGGGTGTGGCGTAGAGGTCAGAGATGTTGCGGCGGTACCGCTGATATGCTTTGGTTCCACTCCGAGTTGCAGCCGCTGCAGTGGTGAGTTGATGATCTCAGCCAGGTCACCGATGATTTGAAATTTAATAGAGGCCCAAAGACTTACATAGAGACCCACACATTCACATAGAGACCCAGAAATACAGAGACCCACAGACTCACATAGAGACCCACAGACTCACATAGTGACCCACAGACTCACGTAGAGACCCATAGCCTCACATAGAAACCCACAAACTCAGAGACCCACAGACTCACACAGAGACCCACAGACTCAAAAAGAGACTCATACAGAGATACCCACAGATTAACACGGAGACCCACAAACACAGAGACCCACAGACTCACACGGAAACCCACAGACTCACATAGAGACCCACAGACTCACGTGGAGAATACCCTTGGGTTCATGTCACCTTCAAAGACAATCCGCGTTGAGCACCCGGCCTAGAGGAGGTAAGAGGAGGGATGTAGGGTGTTGGAGGAGAGGGATGATGGAGGGGGAGTGACAAAGGCGGCCCTGACTGTTTAAATTCCGCTTGGCCCCGCGAGGGGTGATTTACTGGCTTTGTATAAACACAGACTACAAATACAAAGATCCCTCGTATAGGCACACAGACTTTTGGGGAGAGTGCCTTCGGTGATCGCTCATGAAGGTCAGAACGGCGCGCGGGGCGAGAGGGGCGGTCTTGCCAGAAACACGCACTCCTGGCCGCCTTTGTGCTCCCCAGTGCTAATGTACGCACCGCACCTGGTACATATTCATTTAAGCCTGAGTCGACCCTGGGGAGGCACAGGACCGGATCGAGGCTTTATTGCAGCTGGAGCTGTCCGGGGCTGACCTCCGGAAAATATCTTCTTGAGAAGTGAAGCCCTGTACATGTAAGCGTAATACGTATACATGGAGGAGCGGTGGCGCAGTGGTTAGCGCGCTGCTTTAGTATGAATCTGGCTACAGCTGAGGGGCCGTCCATAAATGACGTCACGCGATTCCGTCCCTCCGCATAAATGAACGCGAGTGTGTTCTTCTTCTTCTTTCTACGCATCCCATCAGCAAACGCGGCCCTCTGGCAGAGTGCTTAACTTTAGTGGCATTTCTTCAACGCAAGCGTCACGAACGCGAGGCTTCTATCGACAGATGTTTTATAGGGCAAAAGGAGTCAAGGACTCTCTTTGTTAGATATAGATATGTCTCACTCTACTACTCTGGTCTCTCTATGTGCTGTGAGGAAGGTCCATTGCCCGAAACGTCGCCTGATATGTACGCATTCCCTCCGAGGCCACGGTTTTCTATTACACTGGTCAACAAAAAAAATACATTTTTTTCTGGCCTGGACTTTTGCAGCTGTTCTAGATTAATTTCAGGGTGCTGATTCCAAATCTGATCTCAGATTTGCTCTATCAGCAAACGCGGCCCTCCGGGAGAGTGCTTAACTTTTGTGGCATTTCTTCAACGCAAGCGACAAGAACGCGAGGTTTTATCGACAGATGTTTCATAGGGCAAAGGAGTCAAGGACTTTCTTTGTTAGATGTAGATATGTCTCACTCTACCACTCTGGTCTCTCTATGTGCTGTGAGGAAGGTCCATTGCCCGAAACGTCGCCTGATATGTACGCATTCCCTCCAAGGCCACTCTGTTCTATTATCGCCGATGGCGTTGAGTTGTTTTGCTGCGTGTGTGTCTGTGCACCGCTGCGAACGTGCTATCACGAAACCCTACTTTTTATAAATCCTTTATATTAAGTTCAATAGCTTGCTTGCTTGCGCGCTTACGACCGTGCAAATCTTTCGGTCGTTTTTTAACCCACTTCCCGTGATCCAATCGAGCTGACATTTTGCACACAGACTCGTTGTGCGTGACAATTTATTTTCGTGAAAAATTTTTTCCCAAAATTTTCCACTTTTTAGGAATAAAAAATTTCACTAACACAATCATATATTTTCCTAAACACAGAAATTATTCAAGGAAAACAACAAAAATTTACAATATAAACAATCATACAAAAACTGAAAACCTTATAATCCTTATATACGACTTTCCTTATATTTAATTTAAAATACCAATGTGATAAAAATGAAACTCTTACTCAAGAAAAATAGAAATGAATAATAAAATAAAACCGATGCCACGCATATGAAGAATTTATAGTGAAAAACTTTGTTTTTACGGGTTAATTTTTATTAGTTCCCTACGTATTGGTTCGGGTCAGGGCTGCAAGGCAGGCGTCACGCTGATTGGCTGGTGTGCGGTCGCCCTCTTGTGGCAAGACGGCTTCTGCTTTTGTTCTGTGGGGTTGTTTCTTTTCACGCGGGGAACATTTTCGGTCCACTGCCACTCACCCTCTGGCCAAGCGCGCCCTCTGCTGGGGTGCTGGGTGCACGAATCAGCACCGTCACGGCCATCCGTGGCGCGTGGTGGCAGGCAGCAGCAGCAAGGGGCCTTCCATAAATGACGTGACGCGATTTTGGACGATTTTTTTATCCCCCCCCCCTCGTCACAAAGTTTTCAGTTTCATGTATTTGGTATAGCCCTGTGAGCCATTCCGGCCTCTTGAATCGGGTGCAACCGCAACAAACAAAGATAAAAACATGGACACGAAACATCTTAAAGTGACTATGTGCAAACAGAAATCCATGAAAAAACAGCAACATATTCCAGACAAAGCACCGTACACCAGTTGGATGCAAGTCAAACAACAACAACAACCACAAGACAACTTAGATTAAGGCCATCATTCTAACTCCGTACTACAACAAACAAACATGGCCAAACAAAAAAACCTTTTCGATCTCTCCCAAAATAAAGCCATAAAAGCAATGTAACAGTGATCATAGGAACTGTGACCGAATTTTCACAATAAACGACATAAACAACATGTACCACCAAACTCTGCAGCCAAAGCTGGCTGCATGAGTCACTCCACAACAGCAGGAGCCTCAGAAAGAGTATCAAAAATATTAAATGCACCTTTATGATCAGCACACTAAATCAAACACAGATCATACTTTGCAGCGGTCATCCGGAGCGAAACATTTTATTTTATTTCGATTTTAAAGCTTTCGTGACTGCAGGGATTCATCTCTTGGTTCTTTCGGTAAAGTCACGTAGAAGGGAAGTAGTAAAATTAAAAAAAAACATAACAAAATAATTCTCACGACGTTCTCGGCCACAACGCAAGCAGCCGTCCTCAGGTGAAAACCAGGTCTGTCGGGGAGACAGGCCACTCAAGTCAGACCCCCCCCCTCAAATATGACGTCACAAAGCTCTGCCCTCCCCAAAATAAACATGCTTCAAATGGCTTTAAACTATTGTCATTATAGTGCGTATTTAATGTGGCGCTGCACTGATGTTGTAGGAGAAAACATCAAAAAGTATATTTAATTAAGTAGAACGTGTTGTCTATATTTATTTCAAGTTGCGCATTTCCATGTGACGTCACATTTCTCAAACACCTCCCCTCCCCTCGTCACACATCGTCACAAATGTCTGACCCCCCCCCCCCCCACAGGTGCGTGACGTCATTTATGGACGGCCCCCAATACGGCAACAGGAGCTAAAGATCAAACTTCTTTTGGAGCTTTCGTGACTGCAGGAATTATTCTTTGGTTTCTTTCGGTAAAGTCACGTATAAAGATAAAATAATAAATTAAATTAAATACTAGCTAAAGATGCCAATGACGGAGGTCTGCTGCTGCTGCTGCTGCCCATGACGGGAGGGCTTCAGCAGAGAGGGAGGAAGAGAGAGTTCGTGTCGTGTCGCTGTTCCCCCTCCTCCTGCGTTGAAGAACAAGCGCAGATCGCAGTGGGTCTACTGTGTGGGTCCACAGTTGAGGTGCGTTGCCACAGGCGCACTCATGTGGCTTGTCTACGATGTACATCTACGGGGTCCTCTACCGGCCTCTGCATATGTAGAGTCACTTGAACGGAACCTCCGTCTTCTCCTTGCGTATGGCGATGTGGTTCAGTAGCTCGATGTCAATGTGGAGATACTGCTGCTGCTGCTGTTGCTGCTGGCTACGACGGGAGGGCTTCAGCCAGCAGCAGAGAGAGAGGGAGGGAGAGTTCGTGTCGTGTCGCTCTTCCTCCTCCGTTGAACGATGACGGACCCTTGTGTTGTGTTGCGCCCGAAACGTCGTGATTTCTTTTTTAAATCCTTATATTAAGTTCGCTTGCTTGCTTGCGTGCTTGCTTGGCTGCTACGACCGTGCAAACCTTTCGGTCGTTTTTTAACCCACTTCCCGTGATCCAATCGAGCTGACATTTTGCACACAGACTCGTTGTGCGAGACAATTAATGTTCGTGAAAAAATTTTCCTAAATTTTACACTGTTTAGGGAAATAAATAAATATTTAATTACCAATGGTTTAATACTGCAGACAATCATCTGACCCATAGGTGACAGCCATCTCAAGCCAGAGGACGAGAGGACTCTAGCCGCCACGCATATAAAGGATTTAGAGTGAAAAACTTTGTTTTTCGGGTTATACTTATTTTCTACCTACGTGACTTTACCAAAGACCCAAAGAGGATTGGATTCCTGCAGTCACGGAAAGCTTCAAATCAAGATTGAGCGCAGACTTCACTGGGTTTACCAACCCACACGGTCCAGAGCGTGGCCGGAACCGCACTTCCGTGGCCGCGTCTTTGACGTTGCCACATTCACAAGGGGACGTGGAATGTCGGAGCCACGGCGTTTGATTGTTTGAGATTTCCAAAGTGGCGTTTCTTCGGGACGTCCGCTTGTTCCTCTCGGTTCGCCAGCGCGATGATGATGATGGTCATCATCATCATTAGCAGCAGCAGCAGCCATGGTTAATCCACGCTGGATGGAGACCTCCCCAAGATCCTGCCATGGAGGTCACAGGGATTGAACTGCGGGCGGTGTTTGGAGCTGAACAATGCCAAAGGGGTCCAGCGAGGTCATCGCAAGAGAGGAGGCGATGTGTGCCCTGGATCAGGGTGCCAAACATTTAATTTTTTAAAATTGTTTTTTGTTATTCTTAGGTTTTTTCGGTAAAGTCACGTAGGTAAAAAATAAAATAAAATGTATAAAAGTAAAATAAAATTAAAAATAAAATAAAAATCACGACGTCTTCAGGTGGAACCGTCACCGCACGCTTGCTGTATCAAGTAAATGAGAGATTCCAAGAGCTACTACCCGTATATATACTGGTTGAGGGGGGGGGAGGGCCAGGGACAGGCCCCCTTTTATATTATTATGGTAAGGTGCGGCTTGTTTTTTGTTGTTTAGCAACAAGCAAAAAGTCAAACCGAGAGCCAAAGCGACGCCGCCAAATCCCTCAACGGAAGATTGTCGCCCCCACGACTCCCCACGGCCCCCCACGACCCCCACGGCCCCACGACCCCAACGGCCCCCGCATCGAGAGCAACGTCTCGGCCGGGAGCCTCGTAGCAGGGGGAGAGCCACGACACTCGGCGAGGCATTCCCGTGAAGGGGTGGGGGAGGTGGCGTTGAACGGAGCGTGGCCAGACAAACAATCGGCGGGATACACGAACCGAGGTAAAAATGTACCCGTAAATCCTTATATGCGTGGCATCGGTTTAATTTTTTTTCATTTCTCGTTTTTCTTGAGTAAGAGTTCATTTTATCACATTGGTATTTTAATTAATATAAGGAAAGTCGTATATAAGGACTATAGGTTTTCAGTTTTTTGTATGATTGTTATATTGTACATTTTTGTTGTTTTCTTAATAATTTTCTGTGTTAGGAAAATATATGATTGTGTTAGTGAAATTTTTTTCCCCCCTAAAAAGTCGAAAATTTTGGAATTTTTTTTTTCACGAAAATAAATTGTCACGCACAACGAGTCTGTGTGCAAAATGTCAGCTCGATTGGATCACGGGAAGTGGGTTAAAAAACGACCGAAAATTTGCACGGTCGTAAGCGCGCAAGCAAGCAAGCAAGTGAACTTAATATAAAGGATTTAAAAAGTGGCGTTGCGCGCGCGTAACCCCCCCACCCACCCCCACCCGCTCACTCCCAGGCACCGTGGGCCGAGTTAGTGAACCCGGCGGAGGCAGTCGCCGCTAGAGGGCAGCATGAGCGCGGCTAAGGCGTCGTCGCCGCCACGATGTCGACTCGTAACCAGACGCCGTGCGGGAGAGAGGGCGGCTCAGAGAGAGTGAGTGAGGGAGGACGACTCGGAGAGAGAGGACGACTCGAGAGAGGAGAGGATGACTCAGAGAGAGAGAGAAGGGATGACTCAGATAGTGAGACAGGACGACTCAGAGAGAGAGAGGACGACTCAGAGAGAGAGAGAGTGACTCAGAGAGAGAGAGACTCAGAGAGAGGATGACTCAGAGAAAGAGAGAGAGGGGATGACCTCAGATAGTGAGAAAGGACGACTCAGAGAGAGAGGACGACTCAGAGAGGAGAGAGAGTGATCTCAGAGAAGAGAGAGTGACTCAGAGAGAGAGGAGAGAGGCCTCAGAGAGGAGAGAGAGAACAGACTCAGGGAGAGAGAGAGGACGATTCAGAGAGATGGCAAAAGGGAGAGAGAGGATGACTACAGAGAGAGAGAGAGAGGATGACTCAGAGACGAGGGATGACTCTGAGAGAGAAAGAGGATGACTTCTGAGAGACGACGAGAAAGAACGAACTACAGGGAGAGAGAGAGGACGACTCAGAGAGAGAGGACGACATCAGAGAGGCAGAGAGAGAGAGAAGCGGACGTCAGAGGCTCCAGGAGGAGGAACTACAGACGAGCGGGAAGGTAGCAGCAGCAGCCATGCAGCCAGTTTCCGGCCCTCACCAACACTTCCCCGCGTTCTGCGGTCCTCTACATTTGACGGTGTTTTAAACCTATTAACGAGTGTTTGCTTCTATACCGTGGGAGCAAAACGGATCGCGTGGAGCAAAGTCACGCGCGCGATGGGGTTAAAGCGTGTTGCCCGACGCGTATGGCAGACATGGTGAGTCCACAGTGCTTTTGATTTGCTTGCGACGCATTCCCACGGACGAGCCGTGGGGTCGTCAGGGTCACAGCGTGCGCGTGTGACCCATCAAACCCTCGCTGCTGCTGCTAGCCTCATACCCGGCTCTGCTTGACGAGACGCTGAATACTATGAGACCTCCTTTACCAGTGGCAAAATATAGTAGTAGGTTTTTACCCTTTAAACTGGTACAAAACTGACACCTTATACAAGGCATCATGTTTGCAATACCACAACACAAGTAGGTCAAACATGCAAAAAAAAAACAACTCTGATAATGATAATATGCACTTCAACTTCAAGGACAGTGCTATATTTATCATTATCAGGTTGTTTTCTTTTTGTTTGCATTTTGACTACTTGTGTTTTGGTTTATTGCAAACATGATGCCTGGTATAAAGGTGTCAGTTTTGTACAGTTTAAAGGGGTAAAACCCTATATATATTAGACGCTGAATGGTTTGAGGCCGGTCCAGAGTTCTGATGCTGTTTGAAACAACGGCGCTGGAACGATGCGCCCCAGGAGGAAGTAAGGGTGGGTGGGTGGGGGGTCCCGTGGGGCTGATGAGATGTTAACATTTATTTTCCTCGTGTGGAGCGACAGACGATCCGTGGGAGGAGACGAGCTGTTCGCTTGGTTTGTTATTGTTGCTGGCGCTGATGATGACCACGATTATATTGACCGTGTTGGCGATGACGGTGATGACGATGACGATGGCAGTAGGGAGCGGTGGTGTAGTGGTCAGCGCGCTGCGCTACGAACCCGACGACCCGTGTTCGATTCCCGTTCACGGCCAAACGCCGGTGACGATTATTTGAACCGGTTCTGGGCCCTCCTCTAGGTCGACTCAGCCTCAGATGAGTACCTGGTGTGGTGTGTAAACATCGCCACTGGGGAGACAAAGGCGGTCGGGCATGGTGCTGGCTACCTACCCCCTCGTGTACCATTTGGACTTTCATAGTTGCCCCCTAACAGCACTTGCCCCAACAGTGTTAAGGCTATACGGGGGATCTTTGTCTTTGTTTTTGGTGATGATTGCAGTGACGACGATTGTATTGACGATCGCGGCGATTGTAGTAGTGAGGAAGATCACGGCCACACTGAAAACGGCAAACCACGATTTAAAAATATTGCTCTTTATTTGATAAACACAGCGTCGCGTAACGTGACAACCACATGTGACGAGCACACGTGTTACTGCATGATATAAACAGAGGCGAGGGGGTAACCACCATCATCATCATCACACCACCACCTTCATCATCATCATCATCACCGCAACCGTAGTAAAACATTGACATCTACATACGCCTCCACAGTCAGTATACACAGGACACGCGTGTGGATAATATGTGAACGTTTCATATTGTATAGCCATCGTTATTTCAACAGTAATTATAATCGTTT